ATTATGTAACTTCTACTAGACCAACTAAAGTTAATATATTAGAAAAATACCTCCATCAGTAGTTTTTTTAAAGCACTAGTGTATTTGTACCTTGTTGTCCATGTACTCCAGCCACTGCAAACCCAGGTTCGTGACGATACGTGGCGTTCCATCGTCAACTGGCAGGATGTCGATCTTGAACTTCTGGGGAGCAGCCGTCACGATCTGGAACAGCAAATGAATAAACAAATAAAAATCTTTGTGTGGCCGAACAAGTTCCTGGATCCAAGAGATGATCCCGTTTTTTTAATTCAATTGCTTCCAACAGATTAAAGAAGATATAACGCTCCAGTATTCATCACGCAGATGTTGCCGAGGCCAGCGTTGACATGTGTCATTTGAAGGATGCGTCACATGGTTTTATAGGAGCTCGTACATTATTTAACAAGGTCCGGGGGAACAAGTTCACCTCAAACGTGAAGACGTTAACGCCACAAAGCGTCTTCTGAGCTGAGATGTGTGAGGATCGAGACCAGATGTCCTCAGGTGATCGGAGGATAATAAACACAAGCCTGAAAAAGGTGTGCATGTGTGTGTGTGTTCATTCAATTTAATCAGATGGACTGTTAATGGAGACAGGTGGTGGAAGAATGTCCTCACTTACTATATATGTTCCAACTTTCAAAATGTCCTAATTTTCTGACCATTGATTGGGAAAAAAAATGCTGCAGAAAGTGAAGCGAATGCCTGAAACCTGTATTCTCTCAAATGACCAGTAGATGGCGACTCCACTGGATGTTTCTATAGAAGTCTATGAGAGACTGACTCTAACTTGATCTATAACATCTGTAAACATTTTCCTGAGGTAAGTTTCAAGTTCTTCAACACAGCAGGATGTTCATTCAGAGTCAAATAGACGATAAAGCACCGTTTGCATTGGTGCATGGATACTGTGTGATTGACAGCTGGTACAGTCCAATGGGCGTAGGAGTCAGGTGTCGACGGGGTTATTCCAATGTTCCAAAAATGTCCTCACTTGTCAAAACGTCCTCACTTTTCAGAAAATGTCATAAGAATGTTCCAGTTTTTCAAAATGTCCCGACGCTGCAGTTTTAAAACCAAGTCCCCACAAAGACTGAAGCGTAAGAACACACACATAAAATGCTGATTCACCCTCTTGTCATAAAAAAGGTCGGAGCAGCACACACACACGCACACACGCACACACACACACGCACACACACACACACACCTCTTTGCCGCCCTCCTCCACCATGAAGAGCAGGTTGGTGCCGTCGGCCACGGTGAAGGTGAATCGGTCCTTCAGCGAGTTGGAGCCGTCGTGGTTGTAGCTGATGCGGTTCTGGTAGACGTCGTCCATGGTGAAGGTGCTGGTCTGGCGGTAGTGCTGGCCGTTGTTCGTGCGCTCGACGGTGCCGTGGCGAGGAGCCTGGACCACAGTGAAGACGATGGACTCCGCCTGGAGGGACACGAGTGTTAACAGAGAAGATCAGACTTTTTATATTGTAATACATATTCAGGGGTTTGGTGAAGCCGGAGTCTGACCTCCGTGTCTGCATCTGTGGCCTTCAGCTCAAACTCAGTGATGGTCTTCCTCACGCCCTCCTGCACCCTCATGCCGGGGACTTGGAGCAGAGGCAGGGAGTCGTCCACTGGCTTGATGGTGATGTAGAAGGTCTGAGCCACCTGAGGACGATGCAAGACAAAATGAATCCAAGCTGAAGCAGAACAGAAGCAGATTGGTTCTTGTGTTTGAATATTAAGAGCTAATATATATTCAAATAGTTTCACATTTATAAAACATTACAGGCGGAATATTGAACCAAAAACAGAGGAACTTTGGATTTCCACTTGATTTGCATTCACCCTGCAGACGCTTCATATTAGCATCAGCTGTATTTCTGCACAGAATGAAGACTGGAGTTTACCCCCCCCCCGTCACTGAGAGTCACTTTAAGAAGATTCACCCGAGGAACAATAACAGATTCACACAATAAACATAAATAAGACAGACTCTGCTCGTGTTCAGGTTGTCTTGTCGTTGTGAAAGACATTTGGTTTTCAAGGGGAAACACGATGTAGATGTGTTTTTATCTACAACGAGGAGGTTTTGATTTCTCCTCTGTTTGTTCGTTTGTAAGCACGAAAAACAACAGATTTCCACTAAGAAGCATGTGACTGAGTCAGAGAGGAACTCATTGAATTATGGTGCAGGTCTAGAACGTCCAGAAACTGAACTGGAACGCCCTCGAGCAAAAACATCTCACCACAAACTATTCTGCTGTAGTTTCACTTCACAAGGATTAAAAAAAAAAAAAAAAAAATCCCACGAATTTTAATTCAACACTCACGATAGATAGATAAATAAATAAATAAATGAATGAATGAATGGATAAAATGAACGGGCCTCCCAACTAGAGAGAGAGCAGAGTCCACAAAAGTAAAAGCACTTCACAAACACAAACCTCTACAGTTTCCACAAAAGCCTCTTAACACTGCACTCAGCCAGGCGTGAAGGCCAAATGACCTTTTTCACATGTTTACTCAAGTCCTCGCGGTCCTCATTAGTCCGGATTAGCAAGGCAGATTTATGCATGAGGGCACGAGGGGCGCGGGTGAAAGGACTGGAGTGACACTTTGTTCCTCACGCCTCCAAAAGCTTTGGAGTTCGAATAACTCGATCATATTTATTCATATATTTATACTTTGCAGAATCCTTCAGGGAATTATTGTGTGCGATGGACCGAAAAAACTCTCCCTGAGCTTTAAAACATCGGAACGTTTTCTTTTATTCATATTCTAATTGAAACCGGTAAGTCCCGTTAGAGTCGAACGCCTTGATAGCAAGGTTTACAAGCTCAACAGCTGATCATGATGTGACGCGTCTCTTGACCTCGTTAGTCCCATCGGACACGGTGAAGGAGAACTGGTCGGCGTGCTTCTCTTCTTCGCTGGTGTGGACGTACTGGATGCTGCGCGAAGCCAGGTCGGCCTGAGTGAACGTGCTGATCCTGGTGCCTGAGAAAGAAAGAGAGAGAGAGAGAGAGAATATTTGTTATTCGAACTGAAACGAGAAGCTCGAACACCCACAAACACAGAAAACATCATTAGGACTTCTATTCTTTTTGAACGCATGCGGCCACAAACACTCGTCCGTGGTTGTCTGTCCCTCAGCGTCTGCTTATATTTTTTTTTCTTAATCTTTTCTAAATCAGATGGTTTTTCTCAGATGGTTTTATAAGCCTCCCCTTCTGTGTTTTTGTCTCTGAGCTCAAACTTTTTTTGTTTGTCTCCCCTTTTTGTTTTTTTTGCTTTTATCATTTTAATGAGCGACTAAACTGAAGCGAAACAAAAGTTAAATCTCCAACAATCTAACGAGGCTCAGCGGATTAAAACACAGAGGCCAACACAATCAGATTTGATTGCAACAATCAAATATTGCTGAAGGTAATTGTCCTGAACAATAAACTAAAACTCTTTTACACTCTAGGATTTTATTGTTTTGTTATTTCTAGATACTTTAGATTAAAGTGTTCAGAAAGGAGACGACACTTGTTTCTATGGAACCTGAATGAATTCATCGTGGTTCTTGATACAAACATGGAACATACTAATTATATAGTTATATATAACGTTCTTATGACATTTTCTGAAAATGTAAACAATGGCGTAAGAAACCCTTGACTCTGCGCTGCCCTCTAGTGTCTATGTGTTGCCTAACAACCATGCTAACATAAAGGACGCACCGTTTGAATCGGACGTATCCCTCTTTGCGCGTAAAGGAAGTGTTTAAATGCCAAACTGAATCAATCTCCATGTGTGGCTGCAGGGGGCGCTGTTGCTCAGTAAAAGTTACATAGAGCTGCTTTAACACCAGATAAGTATAGACGGGTTTTTAGGCTCAGTAATGAAGACGTGATTCAAACCTAACATTCACAGGCCTGTCAGAATAAGAAGGGACAGCAATCGGGCGACTCTGATGTGAAGGCAGTGACTTGTTGAACATTAGCGACGGCATCCTTGTTATCTCTCTAAGCACGCCGCATGGATGAAAAGTAATTTCCCTGTGCATGATGGGAGGAACCTCTCAGAAATGAAAAAGAAGAAATAAAAACACCTCCCAGTGAGACGGGTCAAAAGTTTGATACCGGGCGGACAATTACTCATTGGACGTGTCACTGAATCCTTGAGGGAAATGGAAATAGAAGCTTTTCAACATCAATCTTCCTCAAGTCAACTTTTGACACAGTGAAACAAGCACAAGTCCATCATCCTCCTGCACCGTGTCACCGATTCCCCCGACTAGAAGTCATCACCATAATCAGGACGGGCAGACACGGAGACAGAAGCAATATCCTCCGTCAGTGATGAAAATCCTGCCGTCACCCGATTATATTAAAAGGAATCGTGCTGTCGATTCCATTCGTCTTGACAAAATATAGCAGGAAGAAGTTTTTGTTTTCCGGAGGTTCAGACGCTGGTGGAATTGAATACCTTTATCGTGATTTTATTTATGTGATCTATCTTTAACAGTGTTGGTAAAGTGCTTTTCAGAAAAGAAATAAAACCCGACAAGGCGGATACAAGGTGAATAAGAAGAGGAACATGAGCGGAGCAAAAGAGAAACGATATAAAACAGAGGATCATATAAATGAATGAAAATGGGATTTGTTGGTATAAATAAGAGCTGATTTCAGAAGTTTGTAAAAGTTTTCACAAAAATAAAAGTTTTAAGGGGAGGTTTCGGAAAGTAAATTTCTTCCTGGGTACAAACTTCACGTTGCACGACCGAACTTCGTCCTCAACCAATGACATGTGACATCAGCTGTGCACGACGCAGTTTGTGAGAGTCAGAGCTGAACATCCTGCTCGGATCACAGCCTCCACTGGTTTGTGCAACAGCTGCCTTTTCGACAAACGCTCCACCTGAGAGCAAAGTCACAACTTTTCCAGCTGTTTGAAGACTTTGAGGCTTTGAGAGTGTGTTTGTTCATCTCTCCGTGCCGTTACCTCCACAGTCAACCCCGTCCTCGTCAGCCGACGGCCAATCCCTGGGGAGGAAGGGGCGACCTGTGTGTGCTAGCATGAAATGACTCTGTGAAGTGAGGCTCTGAGAGAACGTGATGTTAATTCATATTCTGCGAGAGCGCTCAGTGATGCAGGGGAAGCAGAAATGCTCAACAGCTGGGAAGCCAAATATCATCTTTCAACTTGATTTGATTGGCTGGTGCCTCTGCTCGTAAACTTCACTGAATCACTCCGAGAGTGAGCGAGCAGCGTTTCGATTGAAGCCCCTGACACGAGTCCAGAGCAAGACATCGCTCCCCACCAGCTTCTTAAAAACACATAATGAGGTGAAATCTTCTGGACTAATGGAGCTCAATCCCTCCAGAAGAGTCCGGAGACTTTTACAATCAATACCAGGGAGCATCGATTCTGCTCCGGCAGCTCCGAGTGTCCCAACACTTCATCGAGACACTTCACGTTGGATTCTACTTTCATTTGTCACTCGTCTGTATGTGTGAGAGAAGCAGTAAGTCTATTCTGTGGTGGGCAGAGAGAGTATATCAAAATAACGAGAGAGGAACCAGAGCCAGGCTGATTACACTTCCTCATGTGTGTGTGTGTGTGTGTGTGTGTGTGTGTGTGTGTGTGTGTGTGCACAGTTAATTATCAAAGACGGGATGGAACTTTCTGGATATGAATTTATGAGCCTGGAGTAAATCCAGCCGACTGATCAGGAGTGAATTAATATTTCTGCCTCTATTTCTCTCTCTCACACGCACACACTCACTCACACACTCATATTTAATATTTGTCTTTGTTTTTCATAAACTTGCCTCTTTCTAAAGGTGAAGATCGGCCAAAATATTTTTCTCATTTGTCAAATCCAGAACACAAACAGATAAAGAAATGTGATATTATAAAACAGGATTGCTTGCGCTGGAGATTCATTCACAGAGAACTCAGAACATTAATCTATTGGCCCTTTACTTCGGTACAGAATAATAATGTCATTGAACGTTGTTAGAATCTAAAGTTTTCAATGAGCGATGGTCAGTTTAAATATTCACGACCAGTATGAATGTTTTCTAAATACTATAAATACTATTATTCCACCATGTCTTGTTTGTTCCCCTGTTATAATCACAAAAACCTAAACATATCAAATCTAACTTCCTGTCACGAACCCACCGCCTCCTCTCCATACCTGGGTTGGTGACGTGCTCCAGGTGACCCAGGCCCGTCTGCTTGGTGATGCGGTAGATGAGCTCGGCCGGCTCGCTGTCCTGGTCGCTGGCCGACAGCTGCAGCGTGGTCAGCTTCTTCATGGTGTTTTCATCCAGCACCAGACCTTTGTTCACCACCACAGACGGAGGAAGACGGTCCTCTGCAGGAGAGAGACGACGAAGGTTGGAGGTTCACACCAAGCAAAGATTCACTTTGCTAAGTTTGTGGAAACAATTTGTCTAAAATAATAAAATTGTGAGGAGTCGAAAAAGAGAAAAGATGGAGTGAAGCGGTTGGAGGAGAAAGAAGCCGATGTGGAGAGGCAGTGAGGGAAGATAAGAGGAGCAGAAGGTACTTCAGGAAGAGGAGGAATTGAGAAATGACACAAGAACAAGTACAAAAGTGAAAAAGATTAAGTTGGGTGACAGCGCAGGAGGGAAGGAGGCGTAACGGGAGGTGTGAGAGAGGGATACAGGACAAACGGATTAGGAGAGATTGAGAGAGGGGCAGGGAAGTAATCAGAGGGCAGTGTGGAGGGAAGAGATATGAGCGGAGAACTTGACGGTCGCCTCATTGTGAAGAGAGGGGGGGGGGGGGTAATACAGAGCCGGATAAAAAAGTGAGCTGGGGGAGATATGAAAGAATCAGGACGCTGTTCAACTGTGAGGGACAGAAAATCCATCAGCTTCTGATACGGACGCTGATTTTACAGCCGAGTCGCTGCTGTAGTTTGGTCGACAGCCGCAGGAGCAGATTGGAAACTGAAGTTTAGGTGTTTCCAGCCGTCGGAGGTGAAACGGTTCATTTACAGCAGCAGCACAAAAAAACGCGTCGCAAGATAAATGAATCTACAATTTGAACAGGTCCAGGTTCAACTGTTGTGCATGAGTCATTTCCTAATAGAGACACGATCTAACAGCGGCTGCAGCATAATTCGAGTCGACACAGATTCAAACAGACAAAAGAACAACAGCAGCAGTCACTTTTCTTCCTCTTCACAGTTCACACTCTGTCTCACACCTAAAAACACAATTTACTCCAGTGACGGCGATGATGCACCAGACGGACAGAGCGGAGAGAAAGACACAGACCTGAGAGCGACGATGACAGGACTGAAAATAAGTTCAGTTTCCAATAAAGCAATGAATTTTACAGAAGATAAATTCTGCTCGGATTCAGGTTTAAGAAGTTTGTGTAAATACTTTTACTTTTAAATAACTTTAAAAGTAAAAATATAAGTTTGCATCACAGAGGGGGAACAAAAAGAACGAGAAGAGAAAAAGTGGACATACAGTAAATATCACTACGACAGATTCAGACTAAAACCAGAAAGCCTCTCTGCACAATTCGTATTCAGTTAGCGTGCACGGTGCACTGGCACATTAGTGGGCTTGCGGCCGAAAGAGATAAATCTGTAGTAATTGCTTTCTCTTCTTCCACCAAACAGAGGAAAACACCTCAACTTCGATTTCTGCAGGAAACGGAGGCTGCAGGGAACCGTACCGAGCACGCTGATGAAGAAGGACTGGTCGATCAGTTTGTTGCCCTCTGGATCCACCAGGTTGAACTTGAAAAACTGGCTGCCGCCCTTCTCCCCTTTCTCATGGCTGTACTGCAGCAGGCCTGCAACACACAGACACACAAAGACACACACACACACACACACAAGCAGCCAGTGTTAATGTTGATTCACATCTCAGAGCACAAAATGGAAGAAAGCATCACATTGAACATCTGTTGTTTTTGCGTAAACCTGCGGACCTATTCCACGAAGGTTTTCAAACAGAAAACAGGAAATCAATAACAGGAACATTTAGAAAACACTCCAGCACCTTTGTTGACGTCCTCCTGCGTGAAGCTCTGCACGGGACCTTTGACAGAAACCTTCTCCACACGTCCGCTCTTGCTGAGCTGCAGTTTGCCGGCCGGTGGATCTTTGGTGAGGACGTAGCGCAGCTTCAGGCTGTCCGAGTCGATGTCCGTACCCTTCAGGTTCTGCTCGCTGATCTTAGACGAAGATCCTGAAACAGTTCGGAGCAAACAGAGCAAATGTTCCTTCACTTTCTATTTCAGCCTTCGGTTGTTTCGATCCTTCTCCAGTTTGAGTTTTGAAGGATTTCACTTTCGATGAGACGCTGAAGGTTCTTTTTCAGTTTGGTTTTCAGTGTTTCGCTCTGTTCTAAAGATTTCCAAGACATTTCTCTCACCGGCTGGCAGCTGCAGGCCTCTGTTGACAGTCATCCTGGGCCCTTCGCTCCTCCTGACGTCCATGGTGAACTCCAGCCGACCTGTGTGTGTGTAGATGCCGTCTGTGAGGGTGAAGGCCATTTCGTCGGCGCCCCCGCTGACGATCTCAGGCGTGTAAACCAGCAGCTGGTCCAGGACGTCCTGGTAGGTAAAGGTGGAGCCCTGCGTGAGGACACGGCCGTTCTCCAGTGGCTGTGAGTAGAACTGACGTCTGCGGACTTTCCCTGTGGGGAATGAGAGATTAATGAAGCTCTGATTCCAACGCTGGTGTGTCTGTGTGCGTGTGTGTGTCTGTGTGTGTGTGTGTGTGTGTGTGCGTGTGTGCACAGACTTATGCACCTCAAATAGCATCTGCTTAAGTACGGTGATTAACTCAGTCAAATGGAGGACGTTTGACTTTTTCATTCAAGACATAAAAGATCTTCAGAGAAACTAATGGGACTTTTTAGATTGCACTAAATTAAACCGATTCTTAAATCAAAGTCCAGGTTTAAATGGGATTTCTGCCTAATTCCTGGAGAATAATGAGAACACACGCACACACACACACACAGGCAGATGTGCAGTCAGACACACACAGACTCTTTTTTCTTGCATCGCTAAAATGAATAATATAGAATAAAGTAAATATACGTCTGATGGTGCAGATCCAACAAAAATCTGGATCTAGTGAATTTAGGGTGGTTTCACAGAGGGACTGTCGGGCCTTGGCAGAGGTACGAGCGACACTAGTTCCAGGAATGTGTGATAGCATGAGGTAACTGTGTGTGTGTGTGTGTGTGTGTGTGTGTGATGCCAGGACAGAGCAGATCCGTCTAGTTAAAAAGACGAGCTGCCTGGGACTCATCGTCCTGTATGAAATCACTCCTCTCCTGCTCGCTCTCCGTCCAATCAGCTGCACACGCCAGTGGTTTTATGGCGGTGAGACACTCTGGGTACACACCAGCTGTTTTATGGTGCTTTTACTGTGGAGGAGACTGGGGGGGGGGGGGGGGGGGGGCGTCTGTCATGAGGCACGAGCAGGTGTCTGGCAGGACGGAGGACGGATTAAAGAGGTGATAATAGCACACAGCACCTTCCAGATCGATGTTTGTTTGTGGACGGTCATCAGCTGAAGCGGCTTGTGAAAGAAATGTTGGAATGTTCATTTAAAACCCTGAGGAATCGTCCGGGCGTATAAAACGTTTAGTGATTTTAAAAACGTTAGAATTCAAAGGTTATGAGACTTCGACCCTAAATCAAAGTAACAATTAGGAGCCATTAAAGTCAGATCAAAACTTGTTTTTTTTAGCTTAAGCCAGCAGCTTGATTAAAATGAGTTTAATTACCTGAGCGTCTGTTCTCTGTAACTCTGGTTCGATCTCCTCTGAGAAGAACCGACTGAGAGTCTCAGCTTCGACTGAATCGGCTCCAGACAGTTGAAGAGTGAAGCTGAACTGAGATCAGTTAAAAAAACACTGAGAAGTTTTTAAACAACCAGAGTTTATCTCCGATGTTCAGCAGGAAATTTTCAAAATGTGAAGAGTTTGGTGGATTCGTTACAGCCGCAGCTCTTCTGGGTCAGGAAGCAGAGGATCGTGGGTAATATCCAGCGTTCAGTTCATTGGGACGACACAGTCGGAGCTGTTGCTTCACACCCAAAAGCCCCGTCTCTGATTGGCTGTCAGCATTCAACGCTCCAGCCGCTTCGTTAAAGTCAGTTTCCTACATCTCAAATAAATCATCAAAGTTTTGCCGAGTAAAAAAAATACAGAAGACGAAGTTTTCAGAATCATGATGCAAACGCATTTTACTGCAAATGGAATTTCAATTGCTTTTCTCGTTCTTTGTTGAATTTCCTCATCTGTTCACTTCTCTCACTCCGGCTGTGATGATATATCGCTGACTGAGGGACGTATATTTTGTCCGGTATGAAACATTCTTCTTGTGTGAGGCAATTTAGTCCAGGCTCCAGCCGACAGGAGAGAAAAGCCGATTGGAGTCGGCGAGGGGACGTCAGGAAAACAGAGTGTGTGCGGAGGTCGTTTGATTTGAGTGTGTGTCGTGTGTGTCCAGTCAGCGCTGCGGCAGATGACCAGCGTGTTTGTCTTGTTTTTTGGTTGTCGGAAGTGAGAGTAATGTGTTTACAGGCGTGCGTGTGGGATTATGTGTGATTCATTGCAGGGTTGTTGTGTTGGACTGATGCAACATGCGGGTCAGACTCAGTAAACTCAGATCTCACCATAGGAAGGAATCCTGATGATGGTGAACAGGATCTCGTTCTCCGGTGTGTCCTGGTCGTGGACGCTGATGGACGAGTTGGTGATGACGACTCCTGAGTTCTCCTCCACGTGGATGCTGCTGACGGACACCACCGGCTCTCTGTTCTCTTTGCTCTGCTGCAGAGACAAACGGAGATGACGACAAGATCTCAGACTAATGAAGAAATGTTGTCTTTATATTGAATGACCTGCTAATAAAACACTCTTTACAATAGCACCATTAAAACTAGAAATGTAACCTTGACTTTTGACTTGTCACCCTCAACATCTGATCAATTCATCTTTGAGTCCAAATGAACACTTGAACCAAATTTGGACAAATTCTTTCAGGGTTTTCTTGAGATATCGTGTTCACAACAATCGGACACACGATGGAAAACCCGAACACTTAACACCTCCGGCCTCTAGGTGTCGCTGGTGTGGAGGAATAAAACCAAACTGCACTGTGAGAGCACACACACACAAACACACACACACACTTAACAGCTGACTGACAGCCTCATCAATTCTAATCTGGACCTAAGTGATGGATTGTGATGCTGAGAGATGAAGAATAAAAACAGACTGAGGACGGAGCTGAAAATCAAGGCTGGTGCTTTAAAAAGGCTCGTTTGTCGAGACCTCTCCATCTTCACGTCACCGACGGAGCGAGTGGTCGTAACCTCCGTCGGGTCTTTCCATCTGCAGCGGCCTCACTAAAGTTAAACGCCCTAAATTAAACAGCTGTAATTGACTCAGTTCTTTACTCCTCCTCCTCCTCCTCCTCCTCCTCCTCCTCAGACCTGTCGTCCTCCTCCTGACCATCAGCCGCCTCCAGACTTTTCTGTCTCCATTTCCACAAACCTCCTCTGTTTCTTATCTTCTCCGCCACTGAAACACCTGTTCGCCTCTTTGCTCATCTGCTCTTTTCCGTCCAGTCAGAGTCGAATCGTCTGCTTTTCTTTTTTAAGTTTTTACATTTGTTATTTCTACCTGTGTTTTTTTTTTTTAAGGTTCTTGTTGTTTGTGCCGTTCTGCTTCACTGCTCATCCAATCATCTGCTCTTCAGTTTGTTTTCATCTTTTAAAAATAACGTGTCTGCGTCTGCCCCACCCCCCCGACATCGCTGTGGTTTTTACTGTGTTCAAGCAATAACCGAGTTAAACTCTCGTAATCAGGGTTTCTTCAACTTTCAACAAGTTCAATCTAAGACTTTTTTTAGACCATGATTAATGAAATGTAAGATTTATATGTCAAGTACGAAATGTCCCGGAATTACTCACACCTCATAATAACTGAAGATAAAGTGAAGTAGCTGAGAAAAGAACAATCGTGGAAACACCATGTTATCTCTCAGACAGAGACAGAGACACATTTTTAACTTATTTAATACTTTTTAAGACTTAAATTTAGATTATATATGTTGTATTGTTTGCTTTTCTTACTTCTACTCTCATTTCTTTTACTGACAGCTGAATATTAAAGGTTTATTATTATATATTATATATATTACAGAGAGCAACAAATTGAGCGACACGAGTCGATCGGTGACCATCTGACGACCAATCAGCCTCTGGGGCAAAAAGCATATCGACGATGTAGTCAAAGATTCTGCATATTCACACTTTGTTCATCTCCACAAACCTGGATGTCGATCTCCACGTTGACGGCCTCGGTCTGGCTGTGTCCGTCGCTGATGTAGAAGCTGAAGACGTCCTGCTCGGCCTGAGCTTTGCGCTGGCTGTCCTGGATGTAGAAGATGTGGTCGGACGTCAGGTCCTCCACAGAAAAAGGTTCATCAGGCGTGACGACCCGCGAGCCGCCGACTGAGCCTCCTGACGAACGAGAGGGACGAGAGAAGAAGCTGTTGAACTTGTTTTGCCTCAGTCACTCTGTTGCTTTACTACCTCAGCTACTTTTATTGTGAAATTCCCAGTCGTCCAAACAAACAGTTTGCACACAGCAGCGTGACTCAGAGGTCGTGCAGCCTCTCAGGTGCCCACTTATCAGACCATCGCTTATAACACCTGACGGCTGGAATGACAGCAGAGCTCGTCCCTAACCAGCGTTCTCGTGTCTCTTCAGTCAGAACTGTCTGACAGTTTGGATGCCAGAAACCTGCAGAGAGTTTTCAGTGTCTCCACTCGGGCCGCTCTGTCATCAGCAGGCTCTCGGGACGTCGAGGGAGAGCGGTGATGAATAAACAAAAATCATCCCTGAAATCTCTGAACTCTGAGACAAAGTTTGAGCGTCAGGGAAGATGGATGAGTCCAGGGTGAGTTGAGACAGGGCTCTGTGGGGAATCACTGTTGTGTGTGTGTGTGTGTGTGTATGTGTGTGTTTCAGTCGCCACAGTCAATCCAATCTCATCTTCATCATCTGACCGAGACTCTTATCTGAGCAGGGACCTTCACAGAATCATGAAGGGGGGGGTCACCTGCAGACTTCCAGGAACATTTTGGCAGCATCATTTAGTTTTTGCACTTCTTTTCCTGCTGACAGCTTCATCTCTCACTGAGGAAAGTTATGAACGTGTGTAAACACAACAGGAAATTGGTTGTTCAGGGACACGAGTTGAGCAGATAAGGAGCAGACTGTACTCGTTCAGCTCATGGTGTGAAAGATATCTGCAATAACTTAATTTCACACTTGTTAAATACATTTCTGAGACTGAATTTGTGTGTGTACCACGGTGTTCAATCAATACAAAAACTTTGATTCAAACATATTCAGAGCTGATGGAGAAACTCAACTTATCTGAACTAAACTGACTCATTTTAAAAACGAGTGGTTCTGAGTCAAAGATCAAGAATAAACTCTCAAATCAGAAACTTCTAGATCAAAGCATTTGAAACCGTTTGCCAATATTTAAAAACAAAACTGGTCGATATGTGAAGCGACAACCGACGAGCAGCCACGCACTGATTCGTTTCTGCCGTTTTTACATGCAAGACAGATTCATCTGCAGATGTAATGGAGGCAGATATTTCTGATGTCTGCTGCTGCAGATAAGCAGCTGCCACCAGTCGTGTCTGTGCACGTCCCCGCTGACTGTCCTTGATGAGGGAGCGGGACGGTCGTTGGTATTCAGCACAGTCGGGGTGGAGGTGGTAGTATTGCGGCCGTCACCCCATCGGGCACAGGGGAGGCCGAGCGGGTGTCGCCCTCAAATGTTTGCACTCGGCAAAACCACCATGTGCTCATGCACGTGAACACGTTATTGACACGTGCACAAAATATTCAGAATATAACATTCACACCTACACACACAGGCAGTATTTAAATGCAAAATAGTGCCTATAAAAACATTATGCATTTACATTTGTATGGGCAGCACAGAGGCACACACACACACACACACACACACACACACACACACACACACACGCGCACACACACACACACACACACGTTCTCTGATGAGAATATTTATTGCTGGTGCAGACACATTTAAAGAGGCCCACACACATAATGGTGTATAGTTACATCATAAAATAAAAGAGTGAAGTTAGCAGTGATGGTCCGTCAGTCCATTCAAGTGTCTATAACTTTAGTGCAGATTCAGACACGAGCCCTGGATTGTAAATACTGATCGCTGCGGAGGGAGAGACACACAAGAGCATCAACGAGACGCAAGGTTGCTCTTTTATTTAATCTATTAAGTCTGAAACTCTGTGTGAGGGGGTTTGAACCAAACCCTTTAACCTGGTAAATGTCTGTCTATGTCTGTTATTGTAACACACACAACTCCGCTCATGGGACCCTCCCTCACAAATACAGACAATCAAGTAACTTAAAATACTCGCGGTTCCTTTCACAACCGGTCTCACCTTTTCAAAATGCTTCTACACATTTCCTCTCGGGCACCGAGAGAAGTGCCTGAGCAAGCGTAAAGTCAAAATTGGTACTTCAACAATTTGCTCCATCTGTAGCCGGCTATCTGGCAGAGCAACATAATCATGCTGTGACAGATGGCACCAGCGCTGCAGGGAATTCAACCGGCAACGCGCGTGCACGAGTGCGACATAAATAGAAATGTGGTGAAGTGTTCTGAGTAACGGAGCTGCTGCAATAAACATGAATACTGGAAGATGTGCAGGTTGTTTAGTTTGTGTGGTGATCGGCCCCTCTGAGGGACTTCCTGCCCAAACTCCTGCCTCTTTTATTTTGAAATGACCCTGTGTGTCTGTTGGTTATTTTTATTTCCCGTACGAGGCAACTCTGTAATTACACATTATTTTAACCTCGCTAATGCTCAGATTCTAGTTCTCACCGATCTTGGTGTTTTCAATGAAGCCATATTTCGGAGGACTGACGAGCCAAACCAGCAGGTCCTTCCTGGGCGTGTCCAGGTCCGACACGATGATGTGATTGGTGGACAGCTGCACACGACCGCCTTCCTGGACCTAGAGGTCGAAGAAAAGACAGAAAGTTTAGGAATCCGAAAAACCTGACAGAATGACACCTAGTTTGATTAGGACGTCTTCAGTTCAGTGTTTTCTCTCATTGCACATTTACAATAATGACTGACTAAAGTTTGTTGTCTTTATAAGTTTTAAAACTTTTCCATCAAGTAATTATAGAACCACTGAAATAATTCTTTAATCCAAACCCCAGGAGGAAGAGTGAAGGGCCAATAAAGCAGGTAAATCATTTCATCTGCCATGAGGTTTGTACTCGTTCAGCAGATTTCTACCTTAATTATATTCTTTTTAATTTCCCCAAACAAATCAAGCTGTTATCAGGACGAACCACAGGGGAAAAATGTATTTTCAAAATATCCTTGTTCTGAAAAAAATGCATCTTCCCCCTTTTCTTTACCGAGCGGATGCTCTTACAAAAATACTGAGCAAAGGAACTCCTCCTCTTAATTGCTGAGCTATTTACTAACGAGGTTTGTCCGACACTAACGAAGGCGTCTCTGACCCCGGCGGAGGGAAGACGATCGATGACGAGTTTGGAGCTGAGAGTATTTTGCTGCATTTAACACTTTAACTGTGTTTAAAGTTTTACTTTAAACCGTTAAATAGTTCATTTGTAACATTTCAACTTGAAATCTGCCTGAACTATAAAACCTTTTGTGTTTTTTTTTTTAAAGAAAAGAAATACTGGTTTTGGCACCAGAGGTTTTTTAAAATTGATTTGACCTCTGGTAAAAAAAAAACACCAGAACAACACCCAACCCTGAAAGTGACAGTGTGCAGGGTGATGTCTGCTTTAATGACCGTGTTAAAAACCAGCAGAGAAACAGAGGGGGAATAAACGTGTGTACTTAAAGTGTTTATGTACCGCACCGTTCCACAAGGTGTATTTCTTATTTTTAGAAAAGTACTATAACAGCTTAAGTAGTTTATCTTGTGTGTACACTGTATGTTAGTGTGTTTACCTTGATGCCGCTGCGGACGGTCACCACCGGCGGCTGCCTGGGCGTGGAGGTGATGGTGATGGTGCACATCTGGTTGTCAAGGCGATTGTTGTCTCCGTCATAAACAACAAAGTGGAAGATGTCAGTCACTGGCTGACTGCTCTCTAACGAGGTGATGTACCTGGAGGTGGAGGACTTCATTAGAAGATCTCTCTAAATCTTTTCAGCATCTGTTCAAACCCACTTTAATTCCCCCTTTTAATGAAAACATAAATATCGGTTCATGCATCTCCTCTCGCATTGATGGAAGACTTAGCCAAGCTTTGCTTTAGTCCTCCCACAACGATACGGCTGCTAATCTCTGCAAAGCACTAATAAAACTGAAATCCATATCGCCGTAATCTCCTCTAATCCCATTTAATTCACACAAAACAATTTCTGTCGCTTGTTTGTTCGAGCCATCGCCACAGAGACTGGGCCTGCGTTATGGAAATGAAGCAGTTAGCACCTGAATATTTTCATTCCATCTTGGCGCCTCTCGCCGGGGGCCCCACCGGCTCTTGCAGGTAATATCGCAGTGATGCTAATTGGCATCGCCTGAGTTATTTCACGTTACGGGGGGAGGGGGGGAGGGGTAAAAGGCTCCTGAATTATTTCCTGATAACCTCATCTTGCATCTGTGCTTCCTCCTCTGCCAGGATGCTGAAGGAAAAAGGAACATTCACCATCATGTCCTGTGTTTTAATAAAAACTCTCGTCCTGTGAGAAGAATCGCGGATTGAAGGAAAACACAACGTGCAGAGGAGGAGGAGGAGGAAATGATCCCGACGACGGCGGCGGCGCTAAAAGGCCCTTAAAGCTCTTTTATCTCTCGCCAAGTGGAATCAACAGCGGCTATTTCCTCCATAAGAGCCTCTTTATTGAAGGCTCAATAATCCTGTCAGTGCCTCCACCAGCGACCAACGTATTGCTGCAGCCCTGCAGAGATCTCTTGACTTTTGAGCGACTGGTTTTCACGATTTACCTCCGACTCTCCTCGACGGATTCATAATATTACACTGAATAAACTCATTGTGCCTGCAGGGCTAAAATAAAGTCACTCCATTCTTTTCTGTTTGCATTATACTACTTCTAATGTCGTCACGGGGGAGCTGTTCACTCAACGTTTTTTTATTGTCAGACTAAAAAGGTGCTAATTCTCTCTCTCCTCTCTGCCATGAACCTTTATAGCTCAGACAATGATGGCTTCTGGAAACAACTGAGGGTTTTTGAAAGTCATTTTTAGTCGGTAGCTGCTCTGTTTTATGCTGATATTCATTTTTTATCAGCCTCTGAAGTCGCATTTGAACCATCAGGGGGGGAAACTAAAACCCGCCACTGGAACCAGGAATATACTTCTGGGTAATTTTTATAGCGAATTTTACAGACTGAGTCGAAAACGTCACGTCACAGTGGTTAGTCATTAACTTTCTCTCTCCAGCATCTTAAGCCCTCGTGACGTCGCTCGTACCTGATCTTGTGCTGGTTGACGTCCTCCATGGTGAAGGACGAGTACTCCCTCAGCTCCTGGTGCTCCTGCTGGGACTGGCTCCTGGTCAGGATGCCGTACATCGGCACCGACACCAGCTGAATCCGAATCTGATCATCCGGGGACGTGTGATCCTACGAGCGACAAAGCAGGAGGGTTCATGTAACTGTGCGTGCAAGTCTGAGTGAAAACACAGGAAGGGTTAGATGCACGTTCATGCATCAGTGTGACTTCACCGTATAAACTCTCATCGTGACTCACTCTGCTGAACATGTCCTCTAAACATATCTTTATTAAACCCTGAGGAACCTCCCCTCACTCACGGTGTAAGCCAGGTGTGCGCGTCGGACCACGGTGCTGCTCTTCTCGCCCACTTCCAGCGACAGCGTGGCCACGGGGTCGCGCTGCGGTCCGTCGGCCGCGCCGCCCAGCACCTCCACCTGCACCACCGTGGTCGCCATGGAGATACCGTCACTGACCGAGAAGGTGAGGGCGTCGTCCTGGGAGGAGAGGCCGGCGTGTCGGTAGAGCAGAACGTTGCGGGTGATGTCGCTGAAGGTGAAGATGTCGCCTGCAGGGACGGAGAGGATCTGAATGAAGCTGCGTGTGTTTGTGTGTGTTTCGTCCATTGATCACTGATGTGTTGTGTGACACTTTCAGGGTGTGTGGTCTCACCGTTGGTCATTTTAGTGTGTGTGCTGCCGTCAGTCTTTATCAGCTCTCCGTGGAGGGGGGCATCCACCAGCTCAAACTCCAGCTCGTCTGGGGCCGTGTCAGCGTCACTTACCGCCAGCTGCTGACCACCTACACACACACACACACACACACACAGACACAGACAGACACACACACAGAGAGAGAGAGGTGTGAAGAAAAATGGAGCAGAAGGAAATTATCTATGTCTGTCACTTTTTCTCTGCTACTGCTGATCTTCACAGTCTGAGCTCATTATCTCACACAGACCAGTCAGTATGTGTGTGTGTGTGTGTGTGTGTGTGTGTGT